CCTGTTTTTGAAATGGATCACGAGCCCACGCTGGTTTAAAATTTTTTACAGTTTTTTAAACAAGATTCATCGCTTTCAACCCAAAATCATTTCGATTCCCATTTTTTGATTTCCCAAATTCCATCGGTTTTTTTCGCCCGGAAATTAACCATTCAAAAAGTCACATCGCTTTAAATACAAACACGATAGAAAAAACCTTTTGTTTGGGTCAGACATGGTTTGGTTTGAAAACCCCCATTGTTTTTTAACCCATAGCAATAGGGGAAATAAAAAACCATGGTACGATTCAAAGTTTTAGTAAAATGCGTTTTCCTTTTCTCTAAAAAGCTCAAATATGCCCAAAAAGTAAAAAGAAAAGTCTTTTTTCATTAAAAAGGGTTTTTAAAAATAAATAGGACAATTATTTTAAATTTTTTAAAATCTTTAAAACCCATAGATCAAAGAGCAGTTTATTTGATAAAGTCGTAACCCGGGAAATAAAAATTTGCATTGGGGCCGTTTTTTGGGTTTTAAAAAACAAAAAAAGCATGTAACATTTGTAAGCTTTTCTTTGTTAAAAATTTTTTTTTCATATTTTTTAAAGACATTTTAAAGCTTGTTAAAACATTTCGAAAATAAGATTTTTCAATCCCCGTGCCGATTTTAAAGACTCCCTAAAAACTGTATTGCACGGCCCTGCATATATTTTACGTGACGTAATTTGCGTTAACAAAAAATGGCGTTAAAGGGCGGACTTTTAAAAAGTTGGCTTTTTTACTTTTAGGCGCGTAATGATTTTTTTTTTACGAAAAAATCTTTTTTTTTGGGGATGTGGTTAAAATTTTTTTTTGCATTTTTAGAATTTTTTTGCCGGTTTTTTTCGTTCAAAATGCTTTTTAAACAATCACTCGGGCCCTTTTCGGGCCCCCTCGATTAAAATTTATGCCATTTCAAAACGAAAAGGGTAATTGATATCTATTTCCTAAGTTATATATTTAACGCTCTTTTGAACAGATACTGCGAAGTAGAAGTGTCCCCCTTTATATGCCCTCTTCAAAATTGGGGCGATAAATGTAAAAACAGTAGGTGAAAAAACTAATACAAAATTTACGTACACATATTTTAAGTCATTTTTTTTTCTTTCCCTTGTTTTGTTTTCTTGATCATAATTTTGTTACTAGGAATTTTCCAACCGTTGCAATCAAAAAATGTCATTTGTAAATTCCGAAAACGTTGCAATCAAAAAGAGTCTATGTAATGGGTTCATTTCAATTTGGGTGTGAAGCGAGACAAAAGTTTGGAAAAACAAATTAACCCGTGCATATAAATTCATTTATTGAAACAAAATGTTTCAAAGGCAAAATGGTAATTTGGAAATTTAACTTTTTTTTAAACAAACCAATTGATGATTGTTATCATATTGATATGTCTACATTTTTATTCTTGATGAAAATTAAATACTAATGGTTTACCAGTCAATTAATAGACATCATAGAAAAAGGTCAAAGGGTCATTATGAATACTAATAAAACACATGATTTATTAAAATTGTAATAATATTTTATTTTTAAAACTGCATCAAAATAAAGCTCTGTTTAACATAAATACGATAGAAAAAATATGTGTATATAAAAATAATAATCAATATTTAAAGAGGTAGCCAAAGAACACATGTCTCGTGCTTACGAGATTTTAATTTTCAAAAAGTCAATCATTTAAAAAAAACTGAATCATATTCTTCTTCTTCTGTTACTTTCTGGGCAATTAGAATAGTTATAGTGGTTAAGTATTTGTGTATGGAAGTCAAAACACTACTGTGCTTACATTTTGCTACTGTTATGACTAATAACTTCACATTTAGCCCTATTTTCTTCAGGTAGCAAGCATATAGAATGCTCTAAATTAAAATTATTAATTAAACATTAAAGAACTCATGCTTGCCTTTGCTAAAAAGTAAAACAAAAATTCGTATCTGAGGAATAATGTGCCTTTAAGCTCTGATAATAATCAACATGTTATGCTAATCTCCATGGGACTATTTTTACTGCGTATGCAGAAAGAAGTTACAAATTGTTACTTGGTCAACATCATATTCCATGCAAGATTTTATGAAGATAATATGAAGATAATAAACACTTTGTATGTCATACATTAAACATACATTTGTAATATGAGTCGCTGATATAAAAAGAAAAGTTTACACACGTTTTAAAGGCACTCTACTGAGGTATAAAAGCATAAAAACATAAAATTTGAATTTCTTGCATAAATGAGCGTGGGCACTTAAAACCAAAAAAAATATGCAAAAAATAAAATAAAATAAAAATAAAAAATATACTCAAAATTATATTGAAAATCTTATTTTTGTGATATTCTTAACCCAAATTTGAGTGAAAAGCATTGCAACGCTCTTCAATTTTTGGTCATTTGTAGCAATTAGAATAAATTTTATCCTGGAAAATGGGAGTGATCAATGATCTGAAATTTTTCACAAAATTAGGATATTGGTCTAAGCATACACCAAATGGAACGTTGAAGCAGCACGCCTCCAGATTCATGCTAATTATCATGAAAATTTTGAAAATGTAATTGAATGTATAATATTGTGAAATAATCAAAAGGAAGCAATTTAAACACATTATTCAATCGCACTTACAACCCACGTAAATTACCAAAAAAGTTTGGTCCAAGTATGCATAAATAGCCCTTTACTGCGTTAGTAACGCGGTAGAAATATACTTGTTAATACCGAAAAATCTCTCATTAACCGCACATAACATTTAAAATATTACTTGAATCTTGAATCATTTTACTTTTCCTAAAATCTTAGTACATATTTCTCAAGTTTGATTTAATTGAAATATTTTGACTCATCTGGAGGCATGCAGCTTTAATCTCGAAAAAAAAAATATTTCATTTACCGTCATGTCAAGAAAACCGGAGTGGAGTCCCTTTAATTGCAGATGTTCTACAACGCCATCTGTTCCAATGTACTTAAATCGGATGCTATCAGTTTAATTTTTTACCCAGAAATTATGCAGTGTCTTCTCACGTAGTATTCAAATATATTCGTTACAATTTATGAAAAGAAGGTTCTCTGTTTTGAAATCTACATAACTTTAGCTATGATATTATTGCAAAAATACGATGTAGTCATGAAATTTTTCACATTTAAATTTATAGTTTTATTTAAATTAGTTTTATCTGCACATTGAAACTAAGACGACAACGACAATCTTTACATTCGTATTTCACTAAAGCAGTTCGTCTGGGTGGTTGGTTTAAGTTTACGTTCGTTTATGTTGATACCGTAATCTTCTAGAATTCCCAGGATTCTCTTTAACTCTGCCTCCGACACGCCCTCTCTGGTCCTAGTCAACACCCACAAATATTCTAGAATGTAAAATAAAAAATCAAGTTATAAGATAAATTTTATCATTATTGCCCTTAATTAATAATTGAGTTAATAGCTAATTATTAAGAATACTCTGAATCAGTCAATTCGCAATCTTACTCAGCCACATTCTAGTCTAAATAATTAAACAAGGCAGAGATTTAGAACAGTATATGAGCCGCGTCACGACAAAACCAACATATTAGGTTTGCGACCAGCATGGATCCAGACCAGCCTGTGCATCCGCGCAGTCTGATCAGGATCCATGCTGTTCGCTTACCAACTCTATTACAAGTGGAGAAACTGACAGCGAACAGCATGGATCCTGATCAGACTTCTCAAATGTCCTTGGCTATTTAAAGTTGCCTTCAGCTTGTATATTCGTTTTGGAAAAACAATTCAGTGTTGTTTCAAACTAAGTATTTCCGTTTTTTCTATCTTGGAAAAGTGCTTCATATCAGTTTTAAGTAAAACAACGTCCCGAGAGTATTTTATGACGCGTCACGGCCAGTGACGTCACGGTCAATGACGTTCCTTTTATTAGGAATCGTTCGCTTTACTTTTTGGAAGGCGGATTGATAGATTAGAAGCATCGAGGGGTGTCCTTATTGTTCATGATGTTTATCGTCGGCAAATGTCATTTTCCACCTTAATTCTTTTGATTTGACAATGATATGAAAATGTATCTAAAAATAATACACACAACCTTTAGAAAAGCTGAAGGTCGCTAAAATTTATAAAGTATAAAGGTGTTGTGATACTATTAACTTAAAACCCATCGGCGTGGTCCAAAGAGTGCTCGAATTCACAACCACTTTGTGAAAAAGGCAGGCACACTACCCACTAGACCAACACTCCCTTAACTTTATAATGTTTGGCAAATTCAAAACATAACAAATGACAAATTCAAAATATAACAAATGGCAAATTCAAAATATAACAAATGGCAAATTCAAAACATTACAAATATAAACACATTGCCTTCTTATATATATATATCAACTGTTCAAAGAAATGGCATAAAAAAGCTACCCGATTAATCGAGTAAAAAAATTCGATTAAGACTATACTCACGTGAATTGAATTGGATCGCTCCTTTTGGGGATTCAGAACACGACCAAACTATAGAATAGTTGGTATAATCCGTGGATAACACCCAATAATCACCGTACGGCGCAACTGGTAGAATGAAAAAAAAAAACAATAGTACGTCGGTCAAATTTACAGGAACATATCTCACATTCTAATCGAAGATTTTTTGAAAGAAAAAAAAAAACGGTATTGAATGAGAGGATATAAGCGCTTTTCTTTTAGTATGAGGTTAAATATTATGTCTTTTTTAAAACGTTTCTTTATATATAAATGTAATAAAAAGAATTTTTTTTTAGTTTAGTGTAAGATTGAAATATATTTCACCTTGTGAACACCCAAAAGTTTCATTTTCACTCGTGGCTGCGGCCACTCGTTAAATATACCTTTTGGTTCTCACCGGGAAATATTTTTTCCGATTTCTTACACTAAACTAAACAAATTTTCTCTATTGTTTACGTTAATTATGTAGATTAAATTTTTAAATATCAATGATTTATTAAAAAAAAAATTGTTCATTTTACATCCTAATAAGTTCATTAAAAATTTCGGCATATTTTCGCTAATTTTTTCCGTAATCGTAAACTAATTGAAATCGTTAAAGCTCTTAAAGACCAGGATCAAAAAAAAAATGTTCAATTTAAAAAACAGCCTTTTGAAATAAATAGCTTATACGGAGGTATGACGAAATTTTGTCGATAAAAAGAATGGTTTTTGATTTTGTAATAAAGTTGTAAAATTAAAATAGATAGATAATCATAACTTTACACTCAGAAAATCTTTACAACCTAGCTTGGCGTTGTCTTGAACCACAGCTTTCACCTATTATCGTGTCAACTTTATCATTCCTATTTAGAAAGAGAATAAATTATTAAAACATAACAATATGCGCATGCGCCGTGAATTTTATTTTGTAATTGATATAAATTCAGTATGTGATTTTTTTGTAATTTTATGTTTGTTTCGTCTTTTTAAGGGGCGTAGTGATAAGAATTAAGCATTATGTTAATAAGATAATACGTTACGATGCTGAATAATGGGAGGTAATATGACGAGTGGTTTTGAAAAAAATGGATGGACAAAGGGAGGTACAATGTAAAAATTTTAACTGTAAAAGCTAGACCAGTAACAAAACAAAACAAAACAAAACAAAAAAAAAAACTTGAAAATGTCGACATATAAAAGCTGATATTACAAGCGTTAAATGCATTTGAGAGCAACCAAATGTTCATCCACTTCACCTGCCTTAGGTCAAAGTTTTCCTGAAGGCCGCACTTCCGGACAGCTACCCGAGCATTCGTGAAAAAACTGGCAACCCAACAAGCCCGAACATTAACGTGATCCCAACTACAAAAATCCAACACGACGCCATCTTTAACCAGTTAACAAAAAAATTGTCCTTTGATATTAACCCAATTTTTGATTTTCGAAATATGTAAATAATTATGTCTTTTTCACCCGTTGTTGACCATCCAAACCTTAAACCAATTTGGTAAATTTACACTAGTCATATTACAGCTGAATTTAAAAATTTACATATCAGGTTTATATACACTCTTAAATAAAAATCCAAATTATTGTCAAAAGCATAGTAAAACATAATATTTAAACTATAATTATTGTATATTTACAAATGCAAAGCTGTTTTTACAATATTCATATTGACTGTTTCCGGTCCAATGATCTTTTTTTAAATATTTTTTGGGGTTTACGCCTTGTTGACCTTTTTTGAAATTTTTGACAATCTATATAAGCACGGTACTTTTTCGCACTTAAGATATTTTAAATCCCCCTTAAAGGCAATGGGAACGCCCTTTGGGTTTAATTATCGATAAAAAAAATAATTTTTCGGAGCCCTGAGGGAAAGGGGGAAAAAAAAACTGCGTTTGGGTTTTAAGGGTTTTAAAAAGGGGCGTCATGTTCCAAAAGGGTTTTTCCCGTATTAGGGGGACTTAAAACTACCTGTTTTTAAGGGGCCACTTCATCTTTCCATAAAGGGAGGGATATCATTCTTTGGGGACCTATGCTTTTATAAAATTATAGGGGTGTAAGGTTTTTTTTAATTTGATAATTAAAGGAAAAAACAAAAAAAATTTTTCCCTTTTTTATAGAAAGTTCAAACATGGATTTTGTAATGTTTTAAATAATGATTTTAAGATCAATGTAAATGCTTAATAACGGAAGAAACCGCGCTGAATTTGATTTTTATTTTTTTCATAAAAGTAGCAAATGTAAACAAAATTTTAGTATTTTGACTTCCATACAAAATTCTTTAATCTCTTATGACTTTATTTAGTTTAAACATATTTTATTCCTTTTCATTTTTTTTAAAAGATGTACAAATTGCAGATATATAGAGAAAAAAAGTATAAAAATACGTTTTTGAATGAAAAGGGTTTGAACCACAAATTCAATGACTTAACTAATTGCCAGATAGCAACGGAAGACAAAATTATTGGTTAGGTTTAATTGGCCAGTAAATTTTTTTTTTTTGCCCACTAGGACAGAACACAAAACAATTAAAAAGGGTTTTGGGAAAAAAAAATTTAAAAAAGGGGAAAAAAACGGGCCCCTTTAAAATTTAGGGAAATATTTTTTTCCACATTTTTGTTTTTTTTAACATTGAAACCACACACCCAAATTTTTTTATCCAATACCCCCCTTTTTTAAAGTAGTGGGTCAATCTTTAGCAATAATTTTCCATAGGCAAGCGTTTTGATAGTTTGAAAATCTCTGATCCCCAACTTTCTAATAGAGTAAAAGGAAGATAGTGAGTGAATACAGTACCTCTCCGTTTTTTTCGAATAGTCGAGCTAAAAATGTATAGCTCGGGACCAGATTACAAATAGATCCAGATTCCCCATGCAATAAATGTTTAATCTGTCACGTTTTTCACGTGCATTTATCCATTATCAAATCGTCGGGAGTCAAATCCTGCATGGAGATCATGTACTATTCCAACTTCATTACAGGAATCCCGCGGACTTTTATGAGTTTTATTTGGCAAATTGTAAACACCGCAAAACGTTCCGTACCGCAAAACGCACGCGTGTGGACGTTTTTGCGGCGCATATCGTACACATTCCTGTGGACGCTTTTTGCGGTTTGCATTATTTTTTTCGTACTTGGGTACGGTTTTTTGCGGCGGGATACTGTTTTGCCTTTGCGTCGCATATCGTCCTATATTTTCTGTATTAAATTTTATATTTCATTATTAAACGTTTACTTTTATTAGTTTCTGTCACTTTCATATTGTTTCAGGTTTAAAGATATGACGAAATAAACATTAAAGTGCAATATTTTTTGTTTGAACCTATTAAATTCTTGACTTTTTACATTTAAAAAAGAAAGGAAATATTTAAAACCGAGGATGTTTTTTTCGAATAAATCTTTTTATTGAATTTGGAACAATGCAGCAGCAAGCAGCAGCAAAGATTTAAAAACGATGATATTGAAATAAATGTAATCTTATAGGACATATTAGAAAAGGACGGCCTTTACGGTTTTTTGGTTTTTCTACCCCGTTCATTTTTACGGGGGATGGATTGGGGGCTTTTGACAGCGTTTAGTCATATTTTGAGCGAGAGAGCTATATTGTCAATGGAGATGGGCCTTAAGTCGCCCAAGTCATAAATTTGAGCAAGAGAGCTTTTGTCGGGGGGGGGGTTTGCTTTTAGCCGCCTAGTCATAAATTAGAGGGAGAGGGAGAGAGAGAGCTTTTGTCGAGGGAGGGAGATTTTAGCCCGCCTTGGTCATTATCTGAGTGAGAGAGAGCTATTGTTGTGATGGGGGAGGGGCTTTAGCCGCCTAGTCATATTTGAGCCCAAGAGTTTACAAATTGTTTTGTTTGAATGCCATATAAGTAAATTCATAATTGAACAATTGTAATTTTATTTAATTTGAACAAAAGCAAAAAGGTTCATTTGGGGTCCTTGTTATATCGCCAAGCCTGCCTATAAAGGCATTGGATATTACAAATAAAAAGCAAGTACATTTCATGTACTTTTGGTTCAGAATCTGCATTGGTAACTTTGATATCAGTACTCAATTTCTAACGTCTGAAAATGGTCATCAATATCCAAATATTTCTGTAAAGACAAAGATGTGATTAATTTAAGCAAAATTTCAATAGACTAGGTCAATGTCAAATAGGAGGTCAATGTTTCATTTTCAAGATCAATTTATAGTTGAAACTATTCCCAAGATGTCCGTCCTGCCATAAATGTATTCAATGACATCTTTACATGATAACAAAGGAAGGCTGAAATTCAAAATTCAATTAATTTTTTGACTTTAAAATATGTCTTTATTTTTATTATTCAAAGGCAAATAAGCAAATAATCTTTGACATATTCAGTCGTTTTAGCTCATAAATGAACTTGATCGAGATCTTATTGTTATACATATTCTGTATAAAAAAAAATTAAGAATGGAGAAGAAACAAAGCACTAACAAGGTGAAATATAGTGCGTTTTTTTTGTTGTTGTTTTTTTTTTTGTTAGATTTAGCCTATATTCTAACTTTGTTGAGATTTTATGGTCATAGATTATTCTGTTGAAAATTGTCAAGATTGAAGAGAAATGAAAGCGTTGGAGTGATAAACAATGTTAAAATATAACAGATAGTGTAATTCAAGGGCAGATAACTCTCGACATATTGCTTAGGGGTATGTGGATGCTAGAGTGGTAACAAGCTAAATTTTGGACAGACGGACAGACAGGCGCATACTCAGGTGAGCTAAAATTTAATACACAATAATAAACTGGTCAAAAATTTTAACGAAAATTATATAAAACTTTAAAATATGGACGTTAATGCGGCAGGACCATGCCTTTTTTGCCGCAAAATGTACGTCAGAAAAAATGTGGACCGATATTGCGCCGCAAAACCCGTCCATATACGTACGTTTTTTGCGGTTACGGACGTTTTTTGCGGTTGTTAACATTGCTACTTGATAAGGATATAGAAGTTGCGATCTTTTTTAAAAGGCAATTAACGCAGTTAATACTGTTTTTATTACATTGTCTGGATCGAAATAGTATTAATTCTAAAAATCGATTTTTTCGGATAGTCAAGCTCAAATTGTATAACTCAGACAAAGATTACAAATAGATCAGATTCCCCATGCAATAAATGTTTAATCTGTACGTTTTTTACGTGCATTTATCCATTATCAAATCGTCGGGAGTCAAAAACCCGCATGGAGATCATGTACCATTCCAACTTAAAACCCGAAAACCCCGGGACTTTTTTTTGGTTTATTTTTTTACTTGATAAGGATATAGGAATTTTCGATCTTTTTTTTTAAAACAATTAACGCAGTTAATTACTGTTTTTTTTTACCCATGTTTTGGATCAAATGGTTATGCCCCTTAAAAAACCCAATTTTCAAACCGATTTATTTGAGATTGTTTTTTGCAATATAAAGCTATACTTCATATTTTTGTTTAGTTTAAAAATGATTTAAAAGGACGGGGGTTTTTTTAGACAGTATCTTTTATATTTGATTTCATTGACGTTGTTAGTTTTGTGAAGTGAACTTTAAAAGGTTATGCTAATTTTAAAACATGTTTTATTGGTGACTTCCCTGGGAATTTTTTTCATGTTTTTAAAGAAACAAAAGACAGAAAGGGGCTTTAAACTGGGAAACATGTTGTTAAACACTGGTGTTTAAAAATCATGGAGCCCTTTAATTTTAAGCATGTATATCTATAAAGAATAACACAAAAATTTTGGAAAAACCCTTTACCCAAACGGGAATACTTTTTTTTTACCCCAGAAGGCTTGGGAAAAATTTAAAGCACCGGTTTATTTTACAATCTTTACGCAAATTTATCTCCCTTTTTTGATTTTTTTGGGCGTTTTGTGTACATGTAAAGGGAAGGAACGGGTTCGGGAGTTTTGGACTCTTTTTGGTTTTTTGCAAATTAAAACACATAAGGGGGTTTTAAATTTCCCCTCCATTATTTGTTGGTTTTGACGACCCCAAAAAAAAAAAAACCCATAAAAGGGCGGGCCCAAAAAATGCATGAATGTTTTAAGCTTTTAGTTTTTTTTTAAGCATATTTATTTTTAAACTCGATTGCGAAACAAAGTTCTTGGAAAACAACATTTAAATCACTTTCGGGTCCGCTTCCTGGAACTTAACATTACGGTTGTCAAAATGAATTGAATGAAAATCGTGTTTTTCCCGGAGTAAGGCCTTTCCAGTTCACGAGCCCTAGGTTGAGAAGCAGACACCTAATCCACTAGCCACATAAACATGAACGCTTACAGGTTTAAAAGGATGATCCCCACACACATATATCTTTATTTATATTTTTTTACAGAGGCCAATACATGTCTGTTTGTTTTAATTTAAACGGGTCATGTTTATGTGGGCTAGTGGTTAAGGTGTCTGCCTCTCAACCTAGGGATCGTGAATTCGAGCCTTACTCGGGTCACGATAACGAATCCTCATTTGACACCAGTACTGTTTAGTTCCAGGAAGCTGACTCGAAAGTGATTTAAATAATGTTTCAAGAACGCAATCGAGCTTAAATAAATATGCTTAAACTAAACTAAACTAAACATTCATGCATGTTTTGCCGTCGTTATAGCTTTTTATTTGTTTGGGTCGTCAGACCAAACAAATAATGGTAGCGAAATTTCAGACCCTTATGTGCTTATTTGCAAAAACCGAAAGTAGTCCAAACTCCTCGAAGCGGTTCCTTCCCTTTACATGTACACTAACGCCGAAAAATCTAAAGGGAGATCACTGCGTAAAGATTGTCAAATGACCGGTGCATTAATTTTCAAGCCTTCTCGGGTAAGAAAAAGTAGTTCCCGATTGGTCGAAGGTTTCTAATATTGTGTTATTCTTTATAGATATACATGCTTATATTAAGCTCCATGATTATTTACACCAGTGTTTAACAACATGTTTACCAAATTCAGCGCCTTCTGTGCTTTGATTCGTTAACAGGACATCTTTATTAGTCATCAATCAACATGTGTTAAATTAGCATCACCTTTAGTTCACTTTACAAAACTAACAACGTCTATTGAAATCAAATATCAAGATATCTGTCTGTTAAAACACCGTCCATATCAGTTTTACTCAGCAGGGAATATGAAGTATAGCTTTATATTGCAATACAATCTCTTATCAATCGGCTGCAAATTCGATTTTAGAGCTATACCATTTCGATCCAGACATCGTAATAAAACAGTATTAACTGCGTTAATTGCTTTTAAAAAAGATCGCAACTTCCTATATCCTTATCAAGTAGCAAATAAAACTCATAAAAAAGTCCGCGGGATTCTGTATGAAGTTGGAATAGTACATGATCTCCATGCAGGATTTTACTCCCGACGATTTTATAATGGATAAATGAACGTGAAAAACGTGACAGATTAAACATTTATTGCATGGGGGAATCTGATCTTTCCGAGCTATATATTTTAGCTCGACTTTTCCAGAAAAAAAGGAGATACTGTACACACTCACTCTCACTTTGGTTGCGTTTTTGTGCGCATGTTGGCATTTCCAAGACTACTGTAGAAAATGAGCCGAAAATTCACTTACGTTTTTGAGAGATGAATAAGAGGTCACTGTCCAAGGCCCATAACTCTTAAATAGATTTTGACAGAATTATGGCCCTTTTTTAACTTAGAAAATTTTACATAACCTAGACTCTTGTTTTACTAATAGTCGAGCACGCTGTCCTACCGATAGCACTTGTTTCATCTAAAACATACATGAAAGGTACTTCCAACACCACGTGTATTTATGATATGAAAAGTAACAACGTGTGACCTCTTTGTTGCTTGCACTGACCTCTGCAAACATCAAGTAAGTTAAAAAAATATATAGAAGCGGTTATCGCATCTTCTCGGCCCTTTCCGTCAAACTTCGGATATTATTGAAAATAGCCGAAATGATCCGATTGTCGGGCTTCCTTTCACTCTATCTTCCTTTTACTGTATTAGAAAGTTGGGGATCAGAGATTTTCAAACTATCAAAACGCTTGCCTATGGAAAATTATTGCTAAAGATTGACCCACTACTTTAAAAAAGGGGGATATTGGATAAAAATTGGATGTGTGGTCATCATTGTAAACAAACAAACTGTGAAAAGATATCCATATTTAAAGGCCTGTTTTGTCCCAGAAATGCTTTTAATTTTTATTTCACAAACCTTTTAATTGTTCGTGTTCTGTCATAGTGTCACAAAAAAGAAATTTACTGGCCAATTACCTAACCAATATTTTGCTTCCGTTGCTATCTGGCAATTAGTTAAGTCATTGAATTTGTGGTTCAACCCTTTTTCATTCAAAACGTATTTTTATACTTTTTTCTCTATATATCTGCATTGTACATCTTTTAAAAAAAATGAAAAGGAATAAAATATGTTTAAACTAAATAAAGTCATAGAGATTAAGAATTTTGTATGGAAGTCAATATACTATTTTGTTTACATTTAGCTACTTTTATGAAAAATAAAATCAAATTCAGCGCGGTTTCTTCCGTTAAAAAGCATTTACATTGCTCTTAAATCATTATTTAAACATTACAAAATCCATGTTTGAACTTTCTATGAAGGACAGATTTATTTGTGTGCCTTTAATTATCACCGTTAAAAATACCTTACACCCCTATAGTATTTATAATGCATAGGTCGATATGAATGATATCGTCTTCATGAAAGATGAAGTGCGTTAAAGACAGGTAGTTATAAGTCCCCTAATACGAAAACCTGTGGAACATGACGCCCATTAAACCTTAAGGACCAATCGCAGTTTTTCGGCCCTTTCCGTCAGTCTCCGAATAATGATTGTTATCGATAATAGCCAAGGACGTTCCGATTGCCTCAAGGGCACTTGCAAAATATCTTAAGTGCGAATGTACCGTGCTTATATAGATTTACAAAAGTACAAAGGCTCAACAAGGCGTAAACTATAAATATTTAAATAAGATCATTGGACCGGAAACAGTCAATATGAATATTGTAAATACAGCTTTGCATTTGTAAATATACATAATTATAGTTTAATATTATGTTTTACTATGCTTTGACAATAATTTGATTTTTATTTAAAGTGTATATAAACCTGATATGTAAATTGTAAATTCAGCTGTAATATGACTAGTGTATTTACCATTGGTTAAGGTTGGATGGTCACACGGGTGAAAAGACATAATTATTTACATATTTCGAAATCAATTGGGTTAATATCAAGGACAATTTTGTTTTGTTAACTGGTTAAAGATGGCGTCGTGTTGGATTTTTGTAGTTGGGATCACGTTAATGTTCGGGCTTGTTGGTTGCCAGTTTGTCACGCTCGGGAGCTGTCCGGAAGTGCGGCTTCAGGAAAACTTTGACCTAGACAGGGTGAGTGGATGAACATTTGGTTGCTCTCAAATGCATTTAACGCTTGTAATATCAGCTTTTATATGTCGACATTTCAAGTTTTTTGTTTTGTTTTGTTTTGTTTTGTTTTGTTACTGGTCTAGCTTTACAGTTAAAATTTAGGTTTTCAAGGTGGAAATTAAGAAAAGTAGCCTTGACCAGTTGAATGACCAGAAAACAGGTTTTTCTGCTTTTTTTTTGAGGAGGGGGGGGGGGGTTCTGGTTTTGTTTTGGTCCGTAACCGGATATGAACCTGAAGGGAAAAGTTTTACATAATATTATTTTAAAAAAACATATGTTAACGTTACTTTTCAAAAATAAAACAAATTTCGTTGTTTGGCAATTGTTTTAATAACTTTGCCATTTTTAAATTCTGCTATTCTGAATAGCAGAATTAAAAAAAAACGTAATATGAATTTCATATTACGTTTTCGTCACGTTACCTAAATTACATCATCTTTACGTGACATAATTTACGTAATCGTCACGTGACTTTGATTACGTAACCATAACGTGAAAGCATTCTTGAATTTCAGTATTTGGGAAAATGGTACGAGAACAGGCGATATTCCAACTGGTTTTCTCTCTTTTCAAATTGTGTCTCTGCCGAGTATAAGAAAACGTCTGATACCAGCGTTCAAGTGAATAATACAGGATGGCTGTATTTGTAAGTATTCTTTTGAAGTAACTTTCAACTTTAAAGCAGCATACCTCCAGATTCATGTTTTTTTTCATGAAAATTTTGATAAAGTATTAAAAAGTAAAATATTGTGAAGTGTAATTTTTACAATGCAAACAGCATAAACAACCAATGTAAATTACCAAAAAAAAAAAAGAGGTCAAACTATGCAAAACTAGCCTTTACTGTGTTAGTAACGCAGTAGAAATATGGGGGAAATTCTTTTTACAAATGTTAACTATTTTGAACCCTTTTTTCCGAATCATAAATTTTGTGCGCCTTACATATCTTTTAAGTTCATTTTACAAATCTTAACTTATCTTTACCCGTAATCTAAGAAAAAAATGCAAATAACAAATATTAATTTATGTGTACACTTTATTAAACTAATAAATTGCTTCCACAAACCATAACTTATCTTTCACACTTAATTAATTTACATTTAAAATCCATTTTTATAAATCTTAACTTCTATGCTATCTTAACCTAATTTTAAAGTTTCTTTTATAAATCTTAACTTATAATTATGTTTCCATTTACTTAACGAAAAAGATCCTTTTACAAAATCTTATCTTTTATGTACCCTAAACTTAAAAGTTCCTTTTACAAATCTTATCTTATATGTTCCTTTCACTTAACTTAAAATTTCCCTTTAACAAATCTTAACTCATCATCACAATTTCTCCTCATAACTGATTGTCTCCCTTTACATGAATTTAATCAATTTATTAACTTCATTTATTTTGTAAACCTTTACCACCTTATCTCAACTTTAAACATACTTTACCAAACTTATTACATTGTACCTCCCTTTGTCCATCCATTTTTTCAAACCACTCGTCATATTACCTCCCATTATTCAGCATCGTACGTATTATCTTATTAACATAATGCTTAATTCTTATCACTACGCCCCTTAAAAGACGAAACAAACATAAAATTACAAAAAAATCACATACTGAATTTATATCAATTACAAATAAAATTCACGCGCATGCGCATATTGTTATGTTTTAATAATTTATTCTCTTTCTAAATAGGAATGATAAAGTTGACACGATAATAGGTGAAGCTGTGGTTCAAGACAACGCCAAGCTAGGTGTAAGATTTTCTGAGTGTAAGTTATGATTATCTATCTATTTTATTTACACTTTATTACAATCAAAAACCATTCTTTTATCGACAAATTTCGTCATACTCCGTATAAGCTATTTATTTCAAAAGCTGTTTTAAATGAACATTTTTTTTGACTCCTGGTCATCAAGACGCTTTAAGATTTCAAGTTTACGATTACAGAAATTGGCGAAATATGCCGAATTTTAACGAACTTATAACGGATGTAAAATGACATTTTTTTAAAATAAATCATTGATATTTAAAATTTATCTACATAATTAACGTACATAAGAAGTTAATTCGGATAGTTGAATTCCGGATCATATTACCTTTGAAAGGATGAGATCTATAAAAAAGGAAAGATAAAATAAAAGATATTCTTTTGAAAAATCGTTCTTGTTGACACTGGTAACGTCTTGCATTGATACATACTGATCAAGGGAGGTAAGCACTGCGAGTAGTTTGGTCAAACATGTCAAAGCGGGGTTGGCTTTCGCGTTTGGTTCTAGTTTAAACATAATTTATTGCATTATATACATGTTTACAAACATATTATACAAATAATGAGAATATATCAAAATGCAAATGGGTTGGGCAACAAGTTCTTGCAACATTAGATTAAGCCCTTCCCAGAAATTTATATAACACAAGAAAATACTTTTAAGGCAACAATGATTACTTTTAACACGTATATAAACTTTAAAATATGTATTTGAATTTTAACAGCTCATTTATTCATTGAAATTTATTGTACAATTTGGATTTTGATATGCCATCCATTGGTCCTATTGTAGTACAGTCACTGCATTTATTTTATCACATATTTAAAGAAATATAAAACTTCTTCTTTTATTACAATATCAGTTACATTTATTCTCTAAAGCCTTTATCCAATTTTACGAAAATGCTCACTGACAGCGCTTTTTTTCTCTCATTCAATACCGTTTTTTCTTTCTTCAAAATCTTCGATTAGAATGTGAGAATATGTTCCTGTAAATTTGACCGACGTACTATTGTTGTTTTTCTTCTTTCTAACAGTTGCGCCGTATGGTGATTATTGGGTCTTATCGACAGATTACATCAACTATTCTGTTGTTTGGTCGTGCTCTGAATCCCCAAAAGGAGCGATCCAATTCAATTCACGTGTGTATAGTCTTAATCGAATTTTTTTACTCGATTAATCGAGTAGCTTTTTTATACAGTTGATATATAAGAAGAAAATGTGTTTATATTTGTTATGTTTTGAATCTGCAAGAAATTGTAATTATATGAAAGGGAGTGTTGGTGTAGTAGATAGTGTGCCTGCCTTTTTCACAAAGTGGTTGTGAATCCGAGCACTACGGCCCATGGTATCACAACACCTTTAATCTTTATAAATTAAATCGGCCTTCAGCTTTTCTAAAGGTTGAATGTATTATTTTTAGGTGCATTTTCATATGATTGTCAAATCAAAAGAATTAAGGTTGAAAATGACATTTGCCGACTATAAACTTCATGAAAAATAAGTATATACTTGATACTTCTAATCTATCGGTCTGCTTTCCAAATGAAAGGAACGTCACTGACCGTGACGTCACTGGCCGTGACGCGTCATAAAATACTCTCGGGACGTTATTTTGCTTAAAACTGACACTTTAACACTTTTCCATGATAAAAATACTGAAATACTTAGTTTTGATACAACACTGAATTGTTTTTCCAAACCGAAAAAAAGGCTGAAGGTCACTTTAAATAGCCAAGGACATACGAGTCGCGTCACGACAAAACCGACATAATGCGTTTGCGACCAGAATGCATCCGCGCCGTCTGATCAGGATCAATGTTGTTCGCTTACCAACTCTATTACAAGTAGAGAAACTGATAGCAAACAGCATGGATCCTGATCAGACTGCGCGGATGCATTCTGGTCGCAAACGCATTATGTTGGTTTTGTCGTGACGCGGCTCATATATTGTTCTTAGTAATTAATTCGACTTTAATATGACTGATAATGATTGCGGATTGGCTGATTCATAGTGTTCTTAATAATTGTCTATAAAATCAATTATTTATTAAGGGCAATTATTATAACTTTTAGCTTATAATTGATATATTGAATTTACATTCTAGAATATTTGTGGGTGTTGACGAGGACAAGAGAGGGCGTGTCGGAGGCGGAGTTAAAGAGAATCCTGGGAATTCTAGAAGATTACGGTATCAACATAAACGAACGTAAACTTAAACCAACCACTCAGACGAACTGCTTTAGTGAAATACGAATGTGAAGATCGTCGTTGTCGTCTTAGTTTCAATGTGCAGATACAAATGTAAATTTAAATGTGAAAATTTGCATGACAACATTGTATTTTTGCAATAACATTATAACTATATATTTCAAAACAGTAAACCTTATTTTCATGAATTGTTACGAATATATTTGAATACTGGGCCTTCAATTATTATGAAGTATTAACACTTAAAGAATTTGAAAATTCTCTTGAAATGAAAATTGTCAAAAAACGAATTGATAATAATGATATGTTCAAGAAATCATTTTCTTTCTTTTAAATCTCGGTTATTCTCGCGTTTTTTTTTAAATCTCGTAAGCACGAGACATGTGTTCTTTGGCTACCTCTTTAAATATTGATTATTATTTTTATATATACACATATTTTTTCTATCGTATTTATGTTAAACAGAGCTTTATATTGATGCAGTTTTAAAAATAAAATATCATTACAATTTTAATAAATATTTTTTTTTTTTATTAGCGTTTATGTATTTTGTGACTACCTGCGGACTTCAAAATACAAGAAAAGTATTTGACTATGACAACTGTTCGATAAAAAACTATGCTATTTTAGCGGACATTTAAACTGATTTGATCTATTTTAACTCATCATGAAAAAAGAAGAAAAAACAACAACAACAACAACAATACTGATATTAAAATACAAATAGAAGGGTGGTATTTAATTTCCATCAAGAGTATAAATGTAGACATAGCATAGCAACAATCAGAAATTGAGTTTTCTTGTTTCCGATATTTAACAAAAGTAGAATCAAATTGCCATATGGCGTGTACAACTGTGTGTTCAATAAATGAACTATATGCACTGGTAATTTGTATCCGACATTTTGTCTGCGCGTCACAGCCAATGAAATGAATCATTACATAGACTCGTTTGATTGCAACGATTCGGAATTACAAATGACATGTTTGATTGTAACGATCCGGAATTACAAATTACAGGTTTGATTGCAACGATTCGGAATTACAAATAACATTTCATGATCAGAGAGAAAACAAAACAATGAAAGAAAAACAAATCAACGTCAAGTAAACAATGACATGAATATGTGTACGTCATGTGTATTAATTAGTCTTATGTGTGCATGTACCGTCCAATGAAGATGCATATAAATGACACTTATACTTCGCAGTATCTGTTCACAAGAGCGTTAAAGATCTAACTTATGAAATAGATATTAATTTGAGTGCATTGTTGTAGAAAAGTTGATATGCGCAGGAATATCATCGCGAGGGCCGATAAGCCAGAGTGATTGATTACAGAGCATTTGAACGATAAACCGTGCATTACTATACTAAAATGCAAGATCGATTTATCACATACCCAAAATAAAGACCGTTTAAGGTAAAAAAATATTAACGCGCCTATAGTATAAAGCTAACATTAAAAATACGTCTTTACGCCATGTTTGTTTAACGCAAATGACGTCACGCCAAAATATATGCACGGCCGTGCAATGCCGTTTTTACGGCACGGGTTTGCGAAAACTTACATACCCAAAATAAATACCGTTTAACGTAAAAAAATATTTACGCGCCTTTAGTATAAAGCTAACATTAAAAATACGTCTTTACGCCATGTTTTTATAACGCAAATGACTTCACACCAAAATATATGCACGGCCGTGCAATTCCGTTTTTACGGCACGGGTTTGCGAAAACTTACATTACGAAACGTTTTGACAAGCTGTAAAAGTGCCTGATAAATATATTAAGAAAAATATATATCAAAGAAAAGCTGTACAAATTTTACACGCTTTATTGTTTAAAATAGCAAAAATCTCCTAATGCAATTTTTATTCCGGATTACGACTTGATCAAATAACTGCTCTTGTGATCTATGGTTTAGATGATTAAAGAATTCATATAATTGATCCTATTTATTTGAAAACCGTTTTTAATGAACAAGACTTTTCTGTTACTCTTGGTCATATAGACGCTTATTAGAGAAGAAGGAAATACGCATTTCACTAAGCTTTGAATCGTACCATGGTTTATATTTACCATATTGCTATGGTTACAAACAATGGGTTTACAAACCAAGCCATGTCTGACAACGACAGGTTTTTATCTATCGTGTATTGTATTCTAAAGCGATGTGACTTTTTGCAATGGTTAATTTCCGGTCGAAAAGGCACCGATGGAATGGAAGTCAATAAATGCAATCAGAGTGATTTTGAGATTGAAAAGCGATGAATCTTGTAAATCTGTAAAAATTGAAACCTAGCGTGACTCGTGATCCATACAATACAGGGATATGTTCGTAAAGATTTTAGGCGTAACAAAATGTTCAGTTTTAATTCGAGATTTAAAAATAAAATAGAAAATGTTATCAATGTAAATAAGAACAGTTTTTAAATTCATATTAAGAATGATACTTTTTTTCCTTCTTTTTTGTTGTTGAGAAATTTGAGACGTTACAAAATTGTTTTGTTGTGTTGGCACCGATATGAAACTACTGTTTGACTTTTATAAACATTGTAGAACGAGACATGCGACATTAACCTTGCTGGGTACCAGAACTTGTTCGGTGGTTTAGCCGCTAGATTATTCCCCTTTGCGCATCAATGTAAGATCATGTGATGTAAAATGGAAGCGTTTTTTTAACAACAACAAACAACACCTCCCTCCAAAAAAAAAAAAAAATTATACACACAAAGAAAAACCCAGATCATTGATTTTTTAATAAACCGTTATCAACATTCAGATAGATCTTGAAAGATGAATTACAAAATAAAGAAATAAAAAAGAATGGTTGTTAATCATGAATCTTAAATCATAGTTACTACGGAGATTGTTGTCAATTACCCAGAGCATATTAGTGTGTGTTTTGTCTCTGTGTTGTTGTTACTGTTGTTGTTAATAATTAATTTGGACACTGTTAATGTTGTTTTGCGACTATATAGGTACAGAAAGACCTCCAGTACAATTGTTATATAATTAATTATATATATGTATATGTGCATGAAAAAAAAAACAACACACACACAACACCAAAAAACAACAACAACTAAAACATAAACAACAGCAATTAAATCGTGTTTGTTAGAAAGGAAAAGAAACCATACGCACTCTTTTGCAAAACAGTCATATATACAAATGAAGAAGTTAAACATAGCAAACTGAGAAAATATATGTGCTGATCTAGTAAATGGACAGCACAGCCTTTGAAAAGAAGGAATATGAACTGCGTCTAGCGAGGTTTTTACCAAAAAGACAATAACGTCATGTCCAACTTATTAGTGTAATATTAGGAGGTTTACTATAATTATTCATAGATAAATTAATGTATAAGTCAGTGCCAACCACACATCTCACGATATATATTGAAACGTCTTTTTATGACTAAAGGACGCTTGAGGACGAAATAATAATTACGTCTTTTTATGACGTCATTTCAGTGACGTCACTCCTTAATACAAAGGGCCTAAAGCGGTAGACACAGAACACATAGTTAAAATGTAACTTACGGTCTCTTTTTTCTGAATAATTCAAGCTCCACAAACGCACTTAGTCAGCTGAAAAAAACAAAAGAAACAAAAGTAAATTTTAATACAGTATTCTAAGTCACTTTGCTATGAATCAATATCCGTGAAAAACTAAGAAACCGTCCAAAAGAACACCCGTCCAAATGAACATTCGTCCCAAAGAACATTCGTCCCACCCACAACATTTTTTCATTTGCAAGATCTTGTCCCGACAAGGTGAGGCTAGTGTTTAGATTTGTTTGCACTCTTGAATCAATTAAAACGCAACAAGGATAACAATGTATGCCGCATTTGTTTTTGTTTTAACTATACTCGTAAAATGTAAAAAGCTAAATCTATTTAGTAAAAACACGACACATTTAGAATATGACGTCACTAATGAGGGATGACGTAATACTCATATGCTTATTCATACGCCTTTTTCCTGAATATTCTAAACGGATTCTACAGAAGAAATACATGTATATAGAAAATGAAAGAGTACTAAAATTGTAAAGTTTATCATTTCCATTGTGGAAAAAACCCTGTCAAGCGAAAAGTCGAAAATTTACAAGTTTAAATGGCGGGGGCGCGGAGGGAAATTTAAGAAAAAAAACCCTTCGCCTCGAGCCATCGCTAATCAGTGTGTTTTTGCCCCGCGACCCCGCAAAGCGAAAAGTCGAGAACTAACAAGCTTAAATGGCGGGGGCGCGGGGCGGAAACACGAATGGCACAAATCAGCCGCCATACTTATGCAATTTTCACTATAATCCGCCATTTTCTCCAAAGCACTTTGTGCACTTTCTTAAGGTGTGTACTTAAAGATTAAAATAACTTTAAACTAATTTGTTATTTAAGTAATTGTTACAATCTAATAATTTCGTCTGCTGGGACGCTAAAATTCAATTAAAACTATGTCAAGTGTGAAAGTTAATTATCCTGACAATTTAATGTCTGCAGCGAGATTAAAAAATGAAGTCTCTCATTTGTAATATCCTTTTTTATTTCTCTACAAAATAATTTCAAAATTGACTTCAGTAGAGCAAGAGAAATAAACTCGCCAAAACATGGTAACTTAAGAAGCAAATATTTTCAAGAAGAACACATAGCAGAATATTTTTACCAAGAACACATATCAGAATATTTTCACCAAGAACACATAACAGAATATTTTTACCAAGAACACATTGAAGGTTAGCAGCAGAATACTTTTACGAAGAACACATAACAAATCATTTTCATTAAGAACACATAATTTCACATCATTATTTCACTCAGAACACATAACATTGAACTTCCCTTTTTGTACAACACATAACTTGTAATAAATGCAAAAGAACACATAGTGTTGTAGTTTCATTAGGGAAATGATACATATGTTAAAAATTTTAAAATTTACATTTGAGCACTTTTATATTGCCTATTAGTTGATACGACAAAGCTTTTAAAGAGAAATTCAATTCCCGAACCCGTTGGTGTTCAAATAACATTTGTTGTATCAAGTTGTTCCGTCTATACCGTGTATATCAAATAAATAAATACAATTAAAAACAACCTGCATAATTTATAATTTGTCTAAAAATAGTATTTCTTAAAAAGGAAATTCCATGTTCTGTAATTGAGGCAGTGATTTTGGTAAACTGAAAATTAGTAAATTAAAGAAAATGTACTACAATTCAATGTACATTACATTTTACTTTGTTAGATTATAATTACATACTCTATACTATGAAGTAAACTGTGTTTGGGTTTTTCAAGGGCCATAATTTCTCAGATATGCCATCAATTTTATTTCTTAAAAAACTCTTTACTTTTGTGTATCCGATTACGATTACAGTTTCCGGAAAATACTCGTTTGCCACTTAATGAACGTTGTTTTTGGTTTTTTTTATATTTATTTATGGTCTAATTCGTTACACTCAAACGAGCATAAATCATTTATTCTTCA